AACTCTTTACCTCCTACTAGAGGCAAGACATGAGCTATCACTAGCTTAGAATATGCACCAGCACTACCACTAACTAGAAATTAAAAGCTTCTGAGATTGCTTTGCACAGTCTCATAAGATGAAAATGTTTAGAATTTAAGGCAATGTTTGCAGAATCACAGTCTAAGAACTTCCTTGTTACTATAATATTGTTCTGTCATTCATTTCTTGTATGGATGAAAAATATGTATTATAAAAATGGCACTGCAGATAGATTTTGACAGCAATGTCATACACTTTTTATCTGCATTTTGGTGTTAAAATTATTAATTTTGTTACTAATTATTTTTAAAATTGTGTTGGCATCTTTTATTTTTCATTTGCAAACAACAGAACTAAGAGAATTTGGCATTATTATCAGAACAATTGCAGGACTTACATGCAAGAAAATGTTAGAAACACTTGATTCAATGTAACCAGCAATGCTGTAAAGACTAGAATATAAAGTCTTTTTATTCAACGTATGTGGGTATTACTAGTGTCCATGGTTCCGCTACTTGTCCATCATAATTATTACAATGACAGTGAAGAATTTGCAAGAACATAATGGCTGAATGGCTGTTAGCTTTGGATTTAAAACAAGAGTAGCCACTGACCCAATACTGGACATGCAGCACTTTTCCCTTTTACTATTCAACCAGCAGCTACCTAGATGATTACTGACTATGACATTGTTGTTTTGCTATATACTGACTTCTATCATGCTTTACGTAAGGTCAATTAACTTCTCTATGGCTCTCCACTGTCTAGTTCACAGAAAGGTGTGGGGTGTAATTGTAGTTGTACCAAAGCAACGGTGCGTAGTTTTCACTGCCCACCTGAACACATACAACCTGTATGCATAAAACGCTGATGCTACAATCCTATGCATGTTTATTCAACAGTAAGTCCCGCTGTATTCAACAGAACTTTTAGGCTGCCTAGAACTGCAGCCTTAGTACAGACAAAAATAAATCAGAAAAAAGGTAGAGTACAACCTTCACTACAATACGGCCTATTGGGTGCTATAGACTTGAAATAATTAATAGTAGCATGCAAAAGACATATTACTGCATTAAATATTTTTCAGAAGCAGAGACAACTAATGTATTTATAGTGAAGAAAACTCCAACTTCAACCTGTAGCTACACACAAAGCACAATGGCTCTAGCAAATATATAAAATTCAAAAAAATTAATAGGAACTTTGGATTTAACTGCATGTGTAGCCTTACCAATTTGTACTGGTTGACATACATTCCATTGTTGTGTAAGTTTTGTATACACTTCCATCACACTGAATTAAAAAAAGGATGAGCTCTTTTTACTAGTATAATTGCTGTTTATCATGTATGGAGTATTTTCCAGGTTCGACCCTTATAGTTTTTACAGGGCTCTTGGGTACTCCTGGCCATCTATTCTCCTGGAAATTATTAGTCATTGAAAAGTCTGAACACACAACTAAACAGTAAATGGCATGGTCATGCAGTGCTTTACTATTCAGCTTCATTAACATTAGATTATGCATCATAATTTTCACATTAATTATATTGAAAAGAATCCAGCATATTGACTAAGTGGCACAACATAATAACAGCTTTACCATAGCACATTAGCATATGCTAACTGTGCAGTTGTATGAGTTGTGTGAACAGGAGTGTTACTGAATTCCAATTACAGGTACATAGCATTGCATTGTAAGATGCAGTCCAAAACCCACCTGCTTGGGACTAAGCTTGCTGAACTCATTGGAACTTACTTCTGACTAGACAAGTAGAAGATTGCACTGTTACTTATTTTATTTCTTAGGGACTATTTCCATGACAGGAAATTACAATAGAAGTGATTCAGGTTGCTACTGCTTGAGATGTAAATTCAGAAAATGAACTATTCTCCTATGAACCATTATATGTTGTATTCGCTAAGAACAGGTACTGTCTTGCATCTTTGTGCTGTTTTTTGAAGAAAGCGCCTTTTGATCCTTCAAAGTGATCCAAACTCATACAAAGCAATTGTTGTAAAGCTACAGCAAAGAGGTTTAGAACATCATTCAATAAAAGGGGGGACAAAACCAATATATGTCAGAAGTTTTAATCAGTCCCTTTGATATCTGGTTGATTTTTTAAAAGGGGGGGGGATTTCAATTTAGCTCCTTCCTGCACAACAACTCTGTAATCCATTTACTGCTTTCCATTCACATCCTTAACCCCTCTGTGGTGTTTAGCTGGAAACTCTGCTCTAAGAATGTAAACAGGCTTTCATTATTCCAGAAAGGAAAGCAGTGTGAAAGAAAATGTGTGCCTTATCGCAGGGCTGCAGCTCGGCACTTCACTGCTATGATAAAGTGCTGTAGCAAAAAAGAAAAAGCCCCACAACATTACAAGACAAGCACAATCCAAAAACGGATTAGAATTTGACATAAGCTTGCTCAAAAACTAATCAATCAACTCATGCTGTAATATTAGAATCCAGCTCTTAAGGAGGCTGTCTAATCCCTTCAAGGTTTATTACACATTCCCTTATTGACTGTAGTCATGCGCACAGGCGCACACACATGCACAGAGTTTTCAGTCACAATGAGCCATGGAGAAAAACAAAACTTTGCATACGGTTGTGTGCATTTTCCTGGAAAGGAACCTGGTGAAATACAATTGCAGTATTATTTGTGCTATTTTCCTTAGCTGGATACTTCAGTTTTTCACTTGCTTTTCCATAGTATTCTGTTATTAATATCTGAAGTTGTTTCTTTTTTCCTAATTAAAGTTCATTAAGATTACATTCTGCACATTTTGTTTAACACCTGGATCTCACCTGAAGACCTGTATCTTCTGCAAACTAACATTCTGGCATTTGGAACGGCAATTCTCATCCTACTCCAAGTAAATATATTTAGGACTGGCTGTATATATGTTGTGTGGTACTGTCTAAATCTCCAGTGAATTTGATACCACGAATGTACATGGCACTGATTTTCTATCATCAATACACATCAATTTTGAAACTTCAAAACATAAAACAAATTTAGGTTGCAATCTTATATGCAGTTAGTTACTTGGCAATAAGTTCCATTAAACACAGTAACTTAAGAGTAAATATGTACAGACATCAGCTGCATCTGTAACAAATAAATGTACGTGCACTTATTGTTTGCGCAAGGACCACAACAATATGAAATCTGTGTTTTCAGGCAAATTGTCTACCATCAAAAATAAAACGCATCCAAATCGATTACTTCTAGACTGATGATCAGCTGAAATAAATTCTGGTCTGTGGAAGCCTGTAGTTGCTTTGTGTAACATCTTCCTTGATGGAGAGATCCGAATATCTTGAAAACATACACATTTTTGTAGTCTCTGAGTTGGCCTGATAAACGTGTTACATTATAAGGATTTTGGATTCTTTTTCCTGCGGCCAACCCTGCTGCCTTTGCTTCTCATAATAAATCTGTTAGTCTTTAATAAACCATGGAAGAAAAGTGGAATATTAATAAACCAAACAACTAACTAAACAAGACCGTTAAAAAATCCCCCACACTGTCACAACATACATTTTCTTTAATCAAATCACCCGGATTCTTTCAACTGAAGCAGCACAGGCTCTTATGTTAGATCTGCCCAGCAGTTACATATTTTGTGATAATCCTGGGAATTAAGTAGCAAGAGGGTAAGCAACTTTCTCCATGGACATCCTATATGGGAATAAACATAAGACTCGGTCCTTTACTACACGAGTTTTCCAAAGAGCTCGTCCGTTCGGCTACCCGAACAACCCATCACCCGGCAATGGAAGCGCCTACACGCTCGCCCAGCACCCGGAGCAGTCGCGCGCCGGCCCCGCAGGCCTTTCGCCGAGCCCGGTTCAAATCGAAGCAGGACGGCGCCGCCGGCCGGCCAGAGCCCCGCGCCGCCGGGCGCGCTCGCCCATCGCCGGGGCCGCTCCGAAAGCCAACAGGTGCATCGCCCCGCCGCACAGACGGGCTGCCTGAAAGACGCGCACGAGGCGTGCCCGAGCTGGCGGCTTCTTCCAGCTCTTTCAAAAGTTTTCGCCCCGCAGCCAAGCCAAGCCCGAGCCTGCCAAGCTCGCCGGCCAAACGAAAGCCACCAGGGCCGGCGACGCCGCTGCTTAAGAGGCTTCTGTGCCCCCTTCCCTTGCCTAGCTGAAATTGACTGCAGGAAAGGGGGACTGGAGGGAGGTTAGGGGCGAGCGCGCAAGAAGCGGGGAGGGGGGGAGCAGAAAATACCTCCTCCCCTCCCCCGAAAACACCTTATGCTTAACTCACCCCGGACAATTGCAAACTTACGAGGTCTGTCTAAGGTCCCGCTGTACGGGCGGGACACAACGAAAGAGACAAGGCTGCCCAAGTATTCTGCAAGCCACAGCACAAAAGGAGCCAGCCCACCGGGCTAAGCGGACTTACGAGCGGGAGGAAGCTCTGCACCACCACAAGCAGAGGCAGGCGCTGCTGCAGGTGCCCCATCCTGGCTCGGGAGTCTTAAGAGAGGGTTTCCCTTCCTTGGATCCTGCTCATCTCCACTTTGGGGCGCAGGACTGAGTACAGGAACATACCACGGCGCTTCGCCTTCTCTGTCTCCGTCTTCTGCCTCAAGAAACTGCCACACGCGCGTGCGAGCGAGCGAGAGAGAGAGAGAGAGAGGGAAGCGCGCTCCCGCGCACCCGAGCGAGCGAGCGAGCGAGCGCCGGGGCGGGCACAGAAGAGCCCCCAAGCCCCCAAGCCAATTTCTGCCGCGCTCGCTTAGCCGCCACAGGCAGTCAGGCGGCGCTGGGATGCGGCTTTGACACTGGTGTTTCTCGCTGGCTGGCTGGCTGGCTGGCTGGCTCACGGGAGGGAGGGAGCGAGAGGGAGCGAGGGTGGGAGACGGGCGGAAGCCGCGGCGCGCAGTTTGCCCGAGCAAGCGCAGCACTTGGGCAGATCCCTGCGAGGAGCACGAACTTTGGCGCACGGAGCCGCGGGGCCCTGCGCACCCGGCAACTCGGCGACTTCTTGTTGGACTGGGGAGGGGGCGGCGGGGGAGGATCGGCCACGCTTGGCGGGAAGAAGCGCCGGGTGGCGTTGAGGGGCAGCGCTGCGGCTCGGCTTGGGGCAGCTCGCAGCGAGGCTCGCGGGTGGGCGCAGGCAGCAGACCCTGGGAAGCCCTTTCTCCCCTCCCTCTGATGGCACAGGGAAAGCGCCGCGCTCCGTCTTCTGTAGCGCCCCCGTGAAGAGAACCCTCTAGGCGAGAGGCTGAGGTGGCTCCTTGCACAATTCCGCTCTTGGACTGGGCGCCGGACTGCGGCATTTGGACCCAGCTGGGCCACACAGAGAAGAGAGGCCATTTAATAAATAATAATTAAAGTGGGGGGGCAGAGCTCTCTCGGCAATGCCACAGGGTCCGATCTTGCCCGTGTGGCACAGCATTAGGGCGCTCGGGCAAGTGGAAATAACATTTCCTCCCACAAGGCAGCCCTGCTGGCTCTGCTCCCCGCAGCATGCCAGAGCGGCAGGAGCAACCTCCTTTTCTTGGCTTGTTCAGTGGCGCTCATGGTGCACCCCCTCTTTACAGTAGTGTTGCCCAACATAAAATGGCACTTAAGAAACTGGAACGAGTGGCGGCTGCTCCTTGCAGCCGCGGCTCACAGCCTCCCTCCGTGCCACCTCCCTCTGACTCTGGTTTTGCTCTGTTGCTCCTGCTGCGCGAAGCTGAGCCCTCCGTGGCTCCCCGAGGGGCCGGCGGCAGCCACGCCCTCCTGGGCCTTTGCCACAGCGCCAAGCCCTGGGCGACAGTGCAGGCAGATCCTACTCTCGCTCTGCAGAAGATCTGGGATTGCTCTGAGAGACTTACATTTAAATCGCAGAGATTTAAAGCTGCAATTCTGCACACAGCGCACTTATCTTTGAACACCGTGGGATTTCCTTCCAAGTCATATGCATCGGATTTCATGGCTGCAATCAAATCCTTATTTACCAGGGAGTAGAGGTGAACAAGCAGAACTTGTTCATTGCTGCATGAGCCTAATGTCTCATTCATACCAGGTTGTCTCCCTGTCTGCATGCGGATCGTTCACTATTGTGGGATCCAGAGCGTAGGCAGGTATTGTGCTGGCATGATGATCTTGCACGAGGAGAATGGAAAGGCCTGGTCATACCTGGGAAAGGAATGGCAATCAAACTGCCAAAATCGTACAAAATCACCCTGCCCTCTGCACATATCTTTGGTGCAACCACTCTGAGAACACATTGTATGGTTCTGGTCACCACACCTAAAAAGAATATTGTAGGGTTGGAAAGAAGTCAGAAAAGGGCAACTAAAATAATTACAGGGCTGGAGCATCTCCCTGTGACAAAAGGCAACACAGTCTAGGATTCTTTGGCTTAGAGAACAAGTGACTTAGGAGAAACATGATAGAGTTGTACATAATACGTACTGTGTCTGGAGACACTTTTCTTCCTTTCCTGTAATACAAGAACCCAGTGGGATCATTCCATGAAGCTGATGAGTGGAAAAGTCGGGGCAGATAAAAGGAAGGACTTCTTCCCACTGTGCATAAACTTGGGAATTCACCTCCACAAAAAGCAATGATGGTTGCCAATCTGGATGAGTGAAAGGGTATTGGACCAATTCACTGGGGAGGAGGCTATCAGTGGGGACTTCTCTTGCTGGCAACATGCTGCCTCCAGTATCAGAGACGTTGCGTACCTGTGTGTGCTGGGTGCACCGGAATGCGGATAGGAGGGTGGTCTCATGTCGGACTCATGTCCCACTTGTGGGGCTCCCACGAGCAGCTGCTGGCCACTGGAACAGAACGCTGGGCTGGGGGGACCCTTGTTTTGTGTCTCCTGGCCTAAACAGAACACCCAGTGCTTTATGCATTCCACAGAACTAATGCTTGCTTCTTCTATCAGTGCGCTTCAGACTGTGCAAGAAGGTTTCTGTGAGACTCGTGTAGGGTTCGGGGTCAGCAGTAGGTGCTCATCTATTGTGAGGGGTGAGTGTTAGGAGAAAGCCAATGGAGTCCGAAACAGGAACTCTTTAGATTATTTTTCATCTTACATTTGTTGACAGAGATGACAGGATTCCCACAGCAATAATGGGATTAAATCTTGGACTATAGGATTTTCTACAGGAGGTTTTAACTTGGCATTTAACCAAGGCTTCTGTTTCTAGGTATTTGGTGAGATTCAGATCAACTCCATTACATGTATTCTTTCTGAGGATTTCTTTCTTTGCATTTTTATATGTTCCATTACCTAACCACTGGTAGTGCTGTGCCGTACTGGAATTGTACAACTATGCAAGTGCTTCATGCATATGTTCATGAGTATCTTTTCTCATTGGCAAAAAACAAATGAAAAGCAGCCAACCAAAACCCAAATATTAAAATGCTGGCAGTGTGCAGAGGGAGCCCTGGAGGATGTCATGTGAAGCACCCACAAACTGCCATGAACACACAGTATACCTTAAGTAGAAAGGCTGTCAGTAACCTTACGATCCATTCTAACCCTGTGATTCTGGGACTATAACAAGAACTGCTGAAATGGGTCAGGCAGGTTGGACAAGTTTAATCTGCCAGTTCTCTCTTTTTTGTCAGGGCAATGGGCACTGATGGCCTCAAGTGGCTGGCCTTTGTAAGACCAAGAAAATCTCCAGAAGCATTTCTAATTTTTCTTCCCTCCCCACTTAATGAGTAATACATACAGAGGTCTACCGAATAGTCTGTAGTGTTAGAGCAATGAGACAATCCAAACAAGGAAGGGACAGAACTGCAGATTTTTGTCAGCTCTGAAGGTGGAGGCTGCCCACGTTCCCCACTTCCCGAAATGTAATTATGGAGCACTGAACATCAGCTCGTTGCTTGGAGTGGTTTAAGCCTTCAGTTTCCACTTGATCAACCTGTTATTTGTAAATAAAAGAATGCATATTACAAAACACGAGCAACTGTCTAGAGACCTCATTCCACCGAAAGTCAAAGGCAGCATGAGTATTGCATCCTTGAAAACTCGCTGCTTGGAAAATTGGGGTGAACAGAATCCTATGGGGCAGGAGTATTTTGAAATAAGAAATGGGCATCCTGTCCCCTTTTATGAAATTGTAGTGTTCTGAAGAACAAGGGGCAATCTCTGGAAAGGAAGAATTTAAACAAGGGACTTCTGAAAAGCTTTTAGCAGTTAATGCTTTTGGAATTATTTTTCACAGAGGAGAATATTAATGTCAGGATCTATGTACATTTTTCAGAAAATATCCATGAGCAGTATACTACATATTTGCCAGCACCTGTCTTAGCTCAGTATCCATGTGGATTTTCAATTAGAATGTAACCTTTTCCACATCTATGCCTCAGATGAATCACTTTTAAAGTACATCTGTGTATGAAACAGAATTAGATTAGTATCTCAAAATGTGCTTCCATAGCGATCCTCCATATTGTAAGTTGTATTGAATTGTTTAGAATGTGAAGTATCCTAATAAAAAAGAAAGGAGGTGGCGGAGGTGGCAGGCCAACTTGGGATCCTTGAAGGAAAAAATAATAAATGAAGAATAATGATTGAATAAATAAATGATCCCAGGGAATTCTTATGTGTTGTCCTGTTTTAAATGGATGCTGAAAGTAGCCTATACAAAACAGGACAATTATTTGTAGTTACTTTTGCTAATCAAGAAATTTATTTCCAGGCCACTTTTTAATGGCTAAAGGGTTTGTGAGAGGACTGGATAACTTTCCATCATTGATATGGGTTTCTATAAAATCAGGGAGAAACATAAGCCCAAAATTGCTCCTGCAAGGAAATGTAGACACATGACTTAACGTGGAACTAGATTACGCAAGAGGTACATTCTGTTTTAAAAGGAATGTGTAAGCACACTAATAAAACAAGAGAAGACAATCCCTGAATTGGATTTTTAAAGAGAAAGGGATCTGTAAAGTTTGTGTTCTGTGCAGCTACCTGTCATAAGATCAGAGATAAGCAAAGACAGCAAAAGAATATAGGTGTAACTATAGGGAATGCTCCATTAAATTGGGCCATTAATTGGTCCCTTTTACGTTTTGCCATCTTCACATGGAAGATTAGTTTGCTCTGAGCTGGTGGCTGCATTTTATAATGCCAGTTGCACACTTGTTCAAGTGTCCTCTTGTTTTGCTTCATGTGCTTTGTAGCACAGATCCATGTACTAGAAATAACCATATGAATGGGTTTCGTGTTGCTTGTGAAGGTAATGCAGTATAGGAATATGCATATAAAGGGCACTATAAGCCAATATTTGATCTCAGATTGCCCAAAGGGATACACAATGCTGATACTGAATTTAAGAACATAAACTCAGCCCTACCATATTGAACCGAACTTCTTCCTAGGCCTCAGTGGGCAGCTAGAAGCTTCAGGAAATGTATTTATCTATTTAATAATTTCAGGGTAGCTTACAACACAACACTAAAATTACAGCAAGGGGAAAAATCTATAAAAGAGCAACATAAAATCATTAGTAGAACTAAATTAACAACATATTCCCAAGCTCAGTCAGAAGTAAGTCCCATTGTATTCAAAGAGGCTTACTTATGGGGAAATGTGCATGCAGCTGTGGCTTAAATTAAAAGTTAAAAGGCCTGCAAAAGTCTTTTAGTATAAACGATATCAAGGCAGGACTCAGACGAGGCTTGCTGAGATGCAAGATTCCATAGTATGTGAACTGCTAGTAAGAAGGCCCATTCCCTAGTCGTTGGCTGCAGTATTCCAGGGCCATGGAAACCCAGAGACTGGCTTCTCCTGGAGGGTTGAGGTAAGGATGGCCACACATGGAGACAGGTTCTCCTTCGGGTACCCCTGCTGCAGTGCACCATGCATTTTAAAGGTCAGAAAGCACTTTGATTCATGCGCAAGGCTGAATGACACTCTGGTTTTTAGAACATCTTGCTCCGTTTAGCAGTTTTACAGATGTGGTTCAAAGTGACTAGTTTCCAAACCAGCTATGAAGGCAGCACCAAGTAGTACACACTGCAGTAGTTATTAGAGGGTATGTAAGTGTGGCTACGCAATCACGGTCTAAGAAGGTCACAGCTAGAGTACCAACCTAAGCAGGTAATTTGGTCTGTGGAATGTGCATCCGTAATGGCAAGCTGGATCTAAGAGGCCTCGTGGACTCCAAATAGGATCTTTAGGAGAAGTGCAATCCATGGTACACCCAGGCAGTTATCAACCGCACCTTCACACTGACTGCACTGAGCCTCAATTTATTTACCCTCATCTAGTCCCCTACAATGCCCAAGCACTGATTCAGTTCCTACTACAGCACGCCTTCGCCTGTTACGTGTGTGGAGGGGTAAGGTGGGTAAGTTGTAAA